TCACCACATTTGCTTATGCACACATTTGTCTTCAGTGATCATATCGGGAAGTTGGGCACACAATGATATGATTTTTTGTTCTTTCATGCCTGATACCTGATCCCTTCGACACCTCATGGTCACACAGGTTGGTGTGCTTCTTCGATGTGGACTTTGTTGCTTCTCAGTTAGATGGCTTCTTGTTTACCTGCAAGCCTTTAAGACCCCAAAGGCTATATCTTTTGATAGGCAGGCACCATCAGCTTTCTTCCCCACATTTGCTTATGAACACATTTGTCTTCAATGATCATGTCTGGAAGGTGTATATCATGGAATGACAATTTAATAGAACAAAGTGTTCTTACATTGAGTAAGTACTTGAGTGGAGGGCCAATGTCCATCTGCTGCCTTAATACTAAACCTGTAAATATATGCACATAGATCTTTTTCCCCATCATCCTACATAAATATATTTACATATGCACATGCCTGTATTTAGACCTCTATAAATGCCCTCTGCTTCCTAGTTCTTTCCTCTATTTCCTTTTACTTTCTTCTTGTCCCATTATCATGCTCAGTGTTCATTTAGGTTTCAGTAATTTCTCTCGGTTACATTGCCTTTGATGAATCCCTACCAGGCCTCTCACACCATCCTTTTCACTAACTTTGGATCACTTGTTGTTCCCTTGTCCCTGGGTTGGTCAACACCACCCTCTTTCCCCCACTTCCCCTCTCCCATGTCCCCCCAGAACCATCGGTCCTGTTGTTGTCTACTCCAGACTGTTCATCCAGCCTATCTTATCTAGATAGACCTGCAGCGATAATAATATGCATCAAAAAAACAAGGCATAGCAAGACAAAGCGAGAAACGAGAACACGATGACAACAACAAAGAAAACCAATGACAATAAATAAATACATTTTTTTTAAAAAAAGAAAAACCTGTAAATATATCAAGGTCTGCTTTTTGACCTCTAGGCGTGTCCTCCAGTCAAGTCCAATAGGGTGCCAGGCTCTGGCCCCAAATTCTATCCTTTGCACTCCCTTGGGAGCTCCCTGCTTTGCTCCCCACACTGCTTTATTGCACGCCCTTAGTGTTTTGCCTCGGTGTGTGGGGTCAGACCAGGCCAATCCGCACCCTGAGTCTCCAGTGTTGTCCCCCGTAGGGCCATGGGTCAGCAAGGGATGCCATGTCTCATAGTGGGATCGGTCATATGGTCCACTCTGTGCATTGGCTGTTCTGAATGGGGATATCGTCCTCCACGCTTGGTGGGCCAGGATGTGCTCCACTCTCTATTTCTCCATTCATTTGCTCCTGGGTGTTCTGATCAGACATGTCCCTCTCCTTGAGCTGCAGCTTCAGTTCTGTCCTCTATAGTAAATTCTTCTGTGGGGAGGGTAAGTTGTCCAGGAAGCTGGGATTGGGGCCAGGCCCCTAGACCCCTCCACTGTCTCCCCTTTCCATGCCGGCCCACTGCATTCGCATCCCAGAACACCAGATTTAAGTCTGGTCCCTCCTTCCCTGTGGAGAGATAAACAATACCCTCCCCTTGGGTGGGTTAGTGCCCTATTCCCCTACTACACATTTCTATCCTTTGTGTTCCCGTTTGTTTTTTTTTTTCCTCACCCCCCTCCCCGACTCCTTTTTAGTTGGCTACCATATGTAACCCTGGATTTGGTCTGGCCCCTGCCATACTACCTGGACCTCACCCCTAGAGTGTTTGTATACAGTAACTTTTTCCCTGTGCCCATTTTGCATTTCTTTTCTTTTATAAACTTACCTCAGCGGACTCATGTTGTACTTGTCCTTTAGTGCTTGGCTTACTTCACTTACCATAATTTCCTCCAGTTCTTCCCATGTGGTGATATGCTTCATGCGTTCATCACTACTTTTTAGCAATGCATAGTACTCCATTATATGTATGTACCACAATTTTTTAATCCATTTGTCTATTGATGGAAATTTGGGTTGTTTCCATCTCCTTGCAATTGTGAACTGTGCCACAATGAACATTGGAGCATAGATGTCTGGCCGTAGGTTGTTTCTTGCCTCTTCTGGGTATATGCCCAGTAGGGAGATTGCTGGGTGGTATGGTAGCTCAATTTCCATCTGTTTTAGAAATTGCCAAACTGATTTCCATAGTGGCTGTACATACCTACAGGTCTACCAGCAGTGGATGAGAGTTCCTATCTCACCACAGTCCCTCCAACACTTGTTGCTTTCTGATTTTTTGAATTGGGCTATCTTTGAGGGTGTTAGGTGATATCTCATAGTTGTTTTAATATGCTTTTTTCTTATGGCGAATGATCAGGAACATTTTCCCATATGTTTACTGGTCATTCGGATTTCAAAGTCTGTGAAACTTCAGGTCCTTTTCCCACCTCCTCAGTGAGCAGTTAGTTTTTCTCTTATTGTAAGCTTGCAAAGTATTGTAGATTTTAGAAATAAGGCCTTTGTCTGATGTGTCATTGCTAAAGATGTTTTCCCAGTCGCTGGGCACTCTTCTTACTCTCTTGGTGAATTCTTTCAATGTACACAGGTGTTTTATCTTCAGTATATCCCACTTGTCTATGTGTGACTCCTCTGACTCCTTCCCTATTTTCAATAGCCTATGTATTCCCTGTGCCAAGGTTCTCAGGTTTGTTCCAATTCCCTCATTAATAGCCCTAATTGTTTGGGCTTTTATCTCAAAGTCTGTGATCCACCTTGAGTTTATTCTTGTGCATGGAGTGAGGTAAGGTCTTGCTTCATTTTTGCGCAGGGAGATAACCATTTTTCCCAGCACCATTTATTGAAGAGGGCATCTGCTTCCCATTGGATATTTTTTCATCCCTTATCAAAGATCAGTTGCCTGTATGCTGATGTTTTTATTTCTGGGTCTTTAGCTCTTTTCCATTGGTCTGAATATCTGTCATTATACCAGTACCACACTGTTTTGACTACTGTGGCCCTATAATATGTACTAAAGTCAGGTAGAGCAAGCCCTCCCACTTTGTCCTTTCTCTTGAGGAGTTCTCTGCTAATTTGGGGCTTCTTCCCTCTTATATGAGGTTGGTAATCAGTTTTTCAAATTCTTTGAAGAAAGATGATGGTATTTGTAACAGGATCGCATTAAACTTATATAGTGCCTTGGGCAGAACTGACATCTTTACTATATTGAGTCTTCCAATCCACAAGCATGGGATGTGAAACTATTTTTTTTTAAATGAAATGCACAAAGATCAACATCCTAGGAAATAGTGAGCTGAAATGGACTGGTATTAGCCATTTTGAATCAGAAAGTCATATGGTTTATATGCTGGGAATGACAAGTTGTCAAGGATTTCATCTTGCTTGGATTCACTATCAATGCTCACAAAAGCAGTAGACAAGAGACAATTGACCCATTTTATTGGATAAATCTGCTACACAAGACCTCTTGAAAGTGTTGAGAAATGAAAATGTTACTTTGAAAACGAAGGTGCATCTGGCTCAAGCCCTTGTATTTTAAATTGCCTCTTATGGATATGAAAGTTGGGTATTGAAAAAGGAAGAAAGAATTGATATAGTTGAATTTTGATGCTGGCAAAGAACATTGCCAGTACCGTGGACTTAAAAAAAAAAAAAAAAAAACCAATCCTGGAAGAAATACAGACAAAATCTTCCTTAGACTCTTCCTTTAGACATGCTATCAGGAGAGACCAGTACCAGGAAAAAGACATCATGCTTGGTAAAGCAGAGGGGCAGAGAAAAAGAATATTCTTGATGAGGTGGATTGACACACTGGCTGCAGTGCTTTGTGCAGTTGTGCATGGGATCGGTGTAAGTTGGAATCAACTTAGCAGCTTCTAACAACAATAAAGCCCCATGATAACTACTTCATGAAAGTCAGATTAAAGGAACAATACCTATAGTAATGCTGTGTGCATTATAAATATCCAATACATATTAATTATTATTATTATTAAGTAAAGATGCATTCCTTCCCTTCCCCATATCCTTCCCGATGGTGGAATGCATAGAATCCTTAAGTACTCTGCCCACCCATTTCCTACAGTAGACCCCTGACTTCTCTGGAATAAACCAAATTTAAACAGTGAGCATAAAATATTGAAGGAGTCAATGAAGCATGATTGCTTAATTAATTTCATTATCACATTAATATATGACATCACTCTTAGAGAAAGAACTTTTTTTTAGTTTATTACTTGCTACAATAACATGATTTCAAGTAAAGGCTACAGAGGAATCCTTTCACTTTGTTCTTCTCATAACGTGAAAGTCGCCTCAGTGTTGATAGGAAGTAGATATGTCGATCTGCGTGTTTTTTCTCGGCCACCTGAAAAGAAGAAAATAATGTTATGCAGAAGAAGAATATGCAGTGTTACAAAGTGGGTGAGGGAAAATCACATATATTTGAAAAACTGTTAGTGGTCATCCTGCTTCACTGCTTCAGCTGCAAAGCTACCTTCCACTGGTACCCAGGTCTGTCTTCTCTGCCATCACATTCCCTATGCTTTCTGTACACCATCAGATGTCCCTCACCTTTGTGTTACATGTGTGTAGACTGCATCGGAGGGGACATACTTAGCATATCTTTTGAATTCTCAAACATATAGCTTCTTTGCCATGTAAGCACTGCGGTAAGTCTCCTGGGACAGCATTACTGTGAGTTAGCTGTGCACCTCCCTCCCCACACAGAATCACCCTTCCCTCTTTCTGGACCAGACGGCCAAGTGCAGCAGCAGACTACGAAGGAACGGATACTTTCTGACTGTTGAGGAAACTGCCTGAACAGAGAGTCCCAGCACAACCAGCAGGAGTAACTGATACTCGTACTGCAGGACAAGTAGCCATAAGGCACTAGGGACAGTGAAGCAGGGCAACCAGAGACGCTGAAAATACACCTGGTTTGGGTTGATTATCGAAGGTATTACCTTGGTGTTTTGTACTCTATGTTTCTGAAGCTTACTGGGCTTTGGCTTCCAATTTGGGACCCTGAATGGAAAGGAGAGAAGCATAGGGAAATATTTTAAGATAATATGTATATATTTAGAGTCACAGGTTATCCTGAGTTTTGAACAGGACAATTACACCACCCGCTTTTGTATAGCAGACCCTGAAAACCCTTTCTTCAAGTGAGCTTGAGGAAAGTCCTTGAGGAAATTTCCAAGGACTTTATGAACTGCCCATACACCCACCTCTGATGTCCATGCGCACTTGGTGAACAATAGGTAGGAACTACTGAATTCTAATTAAGTGAAAGCATATTTTCAAAGAATAGATAGATTTTTCAAGGAAATGTCCACAGACTAAGCAGGGATAGGTCCTCTCCACCATAATCAGTTTGTGTGTCCTCCTGTGAGTGTTTGCAATGTGTGTGTACATGCACATGAGTATTCATGAAATGCATGTGTAGGATTGTGCATATATGTATTTGTGCATATACGTGTCTGTGCATTCTGAGTTTGAGAGGACAGTGGGTGATGGTAGAAAAGAAACCATGTAAAAGAAAGTTGAAAAACAAGTAACAGGTAGCCCATTGGAGCCGACATTCAGAAGCAACTGTGCATTCTTGGATCTTCGATTCCATAGTCACTGGAATGAGAACAAGCTCCCCTTCCCTCACCCCTGCTACCCTTACAGTCTCCCACTTCACACACGTGTATTCCCATCTGAGGCATGCTGCCACCAGAAGGTGAAGCAGTCACACTCTGAAGGCCTTCACTTCCTATCCTCTTGCCTTTACAAGTGATTGTGAACTCCTTCACTCAAGTCAGCTTGAGAATTGTGAACTCCTTCACTCAAGTCAGCTTGAGAATTTGCTTTACTTAGATAATTTGTTTTATTAATGGGTAATTCAAAGCAGAACACTGCGGACAAATGCTATCATTGAAGAACGGTTATTACCATCTTCATTAACCAAGAGTGGACAGCAATTCAGTTTAAGGTACTTGGGCAAGCCTTCTGAGACTAGAACCCAGGTCTTGCCGACATGACATCTTTTCCTACACCATGACTTTACCAAAGAGGCCATCTCAAGTCCTACCAGAGAGGACATATGAGTGATGTGGGTACCCCAGTTGCAGGCACAGACTTTGTAGACAGTGCAGGAAGAAAGCACATTCGGACAGGGAGCTCTGTTTTGTTTGCCTTCCCAGTAAGCATGTATCACTACCTCCTCGTTGAAGCAGGCTTCAGGCCCCTCCGCTTGGCAGCACTGCTCCACCAGGTGAGTGAAATCTGCAAACAGCGAAAGCAGCTTCACATCCGCGTGTTGAGGCTTCAGCTTCACTAAGTCAACAAGAAACCTGTGGTCCAGAAGTGTCAACAAACAGAATCAACTAGCAACATCTTCAGAAAGGCCCCCAAAATGATGGTCACCAAATCACATGCCTTGGGGTTTCAATTTGGGCAAGGGTACACATTTAATATATCACACATGTGAAAGGATGTCCTGAGACATTGCTTTTAATATGATGAGATAGATCCCATGGTAATGATCGTTCGAGGGTTACATAATCACAGCAAAATGACATAAATATATGACCATATATTACGACCCTATTATGCATGTTATTATAGAATATTTGGCTGAATTTGATCTTACTAGAAAATTAAGATTCAAAACAACCTCTAATCTCTTTCCTCAGTAGCAGAACACTATTCCTATTCCACTTAGGATAGACACTACCTAAACCACCCCCTCCCATACAAAATGGTTTGTTTCTTGGTATGTATAGATAGCATTGCCTGAGATTCCATGTTCAAATATAAGAGAGATTACCAAGGCAAACACCTACATCATTCCTTAGGGAAAATTTACATCATAATAAACTTGTTTATGAGCAAATATACTGGCTGCCCTTACAAGATTTTCCAAATCACAGTCTACCAAATGGTTGAGTAGTTAGCAAAGAAAGACAAGCTAACTATTTGCTCGTAAACAATGGTGATAGATGTTATCTAGTGTTTTGGAGGGGGTGTTTTTGTTTGCTTTGTTTTGCTTTTTCAGTTGGATATTCGGGACCCTTTGAAGAAAAGAATAGGTTTACAACCCTAATTGTGCATATCTGCTACAATAAAGCTTCTCACTAAACCATCATTTGTCTTCAGGTTGTAGGAAAAGCTGAAAGCAGAGAAGGTCTGTACCTTTCTTGCCTTCTCTGGCGTTCTTCATTGGTAGCCTGACATAAGTCTGGGTGGAAGGTAAATAAGCCTTGGGAGGCTGACTGAGGCAGGTAGATTTCGTCGCTTTTCAAATCGTAGAAGCAGTGCCTTCTGAAGGCAAAGCTAGATTGACAGCAATTCTCCACAGCAGGGTTAATGCTTCGCTTTTGATTGACGCCACATAATTCTCCAAGGACTAAATCCACCTATACAGACGAGAGTTAGAATTTAGACATGATTTTACATGCATTCATAATGTCTCATTGTGTACACAGTAAATTAGAGACCAGAGTTCTAAATGGCATCATGACCAAAAACAATCAAACTATATCTATGTAAATGCCTACAGATTAATTTCTCAGTAACATATACTTAAACTTGTAATTATGAGCTGAAGTCACCTGAACTTGGTAACCAAACACTGTAGCTCTTGGGCTATCCTCCTGGGATGTCCCCAGTATACTCTCCATCCAGACCCCAATCTATTTGATTGGCTTGGAAGCTACAATTTTATCAAAGTGGTAAGGGAGGCGGAAGATTTTGTAATGTTAGTTAAAATTACAGTGTTTCTTATATCATTCTAAAGCCATGCAGAGATTCCTATATCATTTTACCCAAGAAGTCACTTCTAATATACAAAAGAAGTGAAATCAGTGGTTTCAAGGTCTCCAAGAAAATATTCAGGACATCCTCCTTGCTTCAGCAGAAGGTTTTGATATAGTGAGTCAAAAGGAAAAATTGATGCCCTTTGCCTATTGGTGTTGAAATCAATGTAAAGAGAAAGCAAGAAAAGGAAGGTGAAGATAATGTATCCATATAAATCAAGAAAGACAAATATTCTCTCTTACACACACACACACACACACACACACACACACACACACACGGCACAAGGGACATGCTCACCGAATTGTCAAGGCAGGAAAACTGTTCTTCCTGTGCACAGCACACACTAAAGGCTTTCACAGTGTCCTGGCTGAGAGAGGTCAATTCTTCAGTAGAGAGCTGGGGAGCCATCCTTGTGAATCTGATAAGGCATCTGAGAGAACATTTGTCTGTGGTTTTTATTTTAAAAATAGATTCATGATCCCTAATTTAACCTGGAGACCCAAATTCTTCACAATTAGAGATAGCAAATGACGGTCCACCATGACCTCAGCTCTGTTTTTAACATCATAGAGAAATGAATGTCTCCTCCCTTATTTTCCTGAACTCTGCCTCCTGTGTGACTGTGTTTTCACTTCCTCTCTAGCCCGATAGTGATCTCTGAAGCTCATATTTGCCTGTCCTGTCTCACTTGTGAACATACGAACTCCTTGGCAAAAAAAAAAAAGGTTTGTAAAATCTTGCTTCGTGGCATAGTGAATAAATGTTTAAGGAGAAGATAATACATTCCTGTAAGAAAAAGATGACCTGAGAAAAAGGAAACTAAATTCCGATGGCAGGAAACAGTGGAAGCATGTTTTTAAAGCTGCTTCTTTTGTTTGGATTTTTAGTTTTTAATTTGGGGGGTCAGTTATCAAACACTACATTAGTTATGATAATTAATAAAGAAAAGTTAAATTAACTGTATATTACTCACCAATGCTCACAAGAGCATTAATAGATTAAATATGCAAATATTTAAGCACATCCAGTTATTTTTCCAAACTTTTGTTAACGGAAACTGAAGTTCTCCACCCGCCTCGCTCTCGTGAAGCTGTGACCCACCGCCGCACTTGCTTTATCTCAGTCCGCGGTGGCAGAAGCCAGGGAGACTGGCTGTCAACAGAAGGGAGCAAGGGCGGCTCAAACACACACGAAGCAGTAGAGAATCCATGGTCCAGAGTCTTGGCCTCATTTTCTCTCAGGTGCACAATCTTTTGTTTGAGCCTCATTTCTGGTGGAGATTTAATGTGACACCACAATGTGCATTCTTGACTTCCACCCTTTTTCCTTCCTTTCAGAGCTTATAAATTGGCCATAACCAGTTTAAATGTTCTTCCCTAGATAGGACTCTGTTACCATGGACACAGATATTAACCTGCCTTTATCAACAACCTACTCATGTTTGAAGCCATCTTTCCCCAATTTCTGAGCTTGTTCACAGGAATGTTGTACCATCTTGAGGCTTTTCTCCGTTGTCTCATTGAACTTTTCTTCCTGAAAATAAACACAATCATGCTGCTGAACATTTTCTCTCATATTCCATCTTACCACTCATGCTGACTCATCAAATCATTTTATTTCTATAATATTTTCAAGCAGTCATTATCATACATTACCCACTAAATTGAAGATACGTTTAATATGTGTGTGCAGCAATTTGAATCTTTTCAATTATATATATTTACACATAGGTGTTTTGCTTAAATTTAAAGTCTAAATTTTTCATCATTATCATGATTTCATATATTTGTCTAGAGCTTACCTGTTTACAAAACATGGTTAAATCTCAGGTTGATGACATGAAATTTCAGATCTTAGGTTGGTCACTTGGGATTTCACTTTGAAAGGGCCAGAACAGCTGTTATATCCATTTGTAAGTAAACAGGTCATGTGAAGTTAAGCAATTTACCCAGAACAACTCAGCTCATATTATGACAGGGTGTTTTAAATCATTGTTGCCTTTATTGTATCCTCTTCTTCCTCTTTTAGAAAGTAACTTAGGCCCTCTAATAGCTATCTTCAAATGTTTTATGAACTTTCTCTTGTGTAACATAAGAATTTACATATAAATCACAAAGCGAACACTGCAGATAATGGACAAATAATGTTGAACAATTTTTTCCTCATTGTAGACAAAATATCTCTATCAATGTGATTCTTTTAAAAGACAACCTTCTTATGTACTGTGACAGAGCTAAACAAAAATTCAAATCTTCTGAATCAATTGTTCCAATTTGAATGATTGTAAGCTGGTATGAAAATGGTTTTATGACAAATGGAAGAAAAGTTAAACTAAAGCAAACACTTCTCAAAGAAAGGGGTAACAAGTCAGAAATTAAGAATTATAAATCTCAGGGCGTGTAACAGAATAGCAAGGGGAACAGAGCAACGAAGTTCCCAGGGAATACCAAAAATAAGGCTTTGGGGCCAGCGCTTGGTACCCCATCAGACTCAACCAGAAAATACTCCTAAAGGCCAACAAACAGTCCTTGAACAAACTACAGGCTTTTCTTTGTTGTTGTTGTTGTTATTGTTGTGGTTTGTCATTGGCTTTTTGTTGTTGTTTTGTTTTCTTTTGTTGCTTTGTTTTGCTCTGTCTTGTTTTTGTGCATGTTATTATCTCTGCAGGTCTGTCTAAATACGATAGGCTGGGTGAGCAATCTTGAGGAGAAAACAATAGGACCGACAGTTCTGGGGGACATGGGAGAGGGGAAAGTGGGGGGAAAGGAAGTGGTGTCCACAAACCCAGGGACAAGGGAACAACAAGTGATCCAAATCGGTGGTGAGGGATTGTGGGAGGCATAGTAGTGCATGATCAAGAGTAATGTAACTGAAAAGAATTACTGAATCCCAAATGAAGGCTGAACATGAGAGTGGGACAAGAGGAAAGGAAAAGAAAATAGAGGAAAGAGTTAGGAAGCAAAGGACATTTATAGAGGTCTAAATACAGGCATGTACATATGTAAATATATTTATATATGAGGATGTGGGAATAGGTCTATGTGCATATATGTATAGGTTTAGTATTAAGGTAGTAGATGGACATTAGGCCTCCAATCAAATACTCCCTCAATGCAAGAATACTTTGTTCTATTAAACTGGCATTGTATGATGCTCATCTTCCCAACATAATTGCTGAAGACAGTGGGTACACAAGCAAATGTGGTGAAGAAAGCTGATGGTGCCCGGCTATCAAATGATATAGCATCTGGGGTCTTAAAGGCTTGAAGGTAAACAAGTGGCCATCTAGCTCATAAGCAACAAAGCCCACATGGAAGAAGCACACCAGCCTGTGTGATCACAAGGTGTCGAAGGGATCAGGTATCAGACATCAAAAAATCAACAAAAAATCAAATCATTGTGAATGAGGGGGAGTGCATATTTGGGACCCAAGATCCACCTGTAGGCAACTGGACATCCCCTTACAGAAGCGTTGTGGGGCAGAGGTGAGCCAGTCAGGGTACCATGTAGCAATGATGAGACATACAACTTTCCTCTAGTTCCTAAATGCTTCCTCCTCCCACACTATCATGACCCCAATTCTACCGTACAAATTTGGCTAGACCAGAGGATGTACACTGCTACAGATAGGAACTGGAAACACGGGGAATCCAGGATGGATGATCCTTTTAGGTTCAGTGCAAAGAGTGGAAATACTGGGAGGATGGAGGGGAGGTGGGTGGAAAGGGGGGAACTGATTGCAAGGATCTACATGTGACCTCCTCCCTGGGGAGTGGACAACAGAAAAGTGGGTGAAGGGAGACATCGGGCAGTGTAAGAAATGACAAAATAATAATTTATAAATTATCAAGGGTTCATGAGCGTTGGGGAGCGGGGAGGGAGGGGAAAATTGAGGACTGATGCCAAGGGCTTAAGTGAAGAGCAAATGTTTTGAGAGTGTTGAGGGCAGCGAATGTACAAATGTGCTTTACACAATTGATGCATGTATGGATTGTGATAAGAGTTGTATGAGCCACCAATAATATGATTTATAAAAGAATTAATAAAGTAAAGATAACATTACCAACAACAACAATCCGTACATCTTATAACAATCCATACATCAAAAAAAAATGCATACATCAATTGCATCAAGCACATTTGTACATGTGTTGCCATCATCCTTTTCAAAATACTTTCTACTTGAGCCTTTGCTATCAGCTCCTTTTTCCCCACCCCCACTGTCCGACCCTCATGACCCCTTGATAAATTATAAATTATTATTATTTTCATATCTTACACCATCCACTGTCTCCCTTCACCCATGTTTCTATTGTTCCTCCCCCTCAGAGACTGCAAATATTTACAGAAGCAGATAATTTCAACTTTCTCACTAGGAGTGGCTGGGAGCTTTGAACTACTGACCTTGCAGTCCAACACTTAACCTACTTTAACACCATTCCAGATGTTTTCCCAGAAAGTACTATTCTGATTTTACTTTTTAAAAGTGTGTACATATATTATTTTTAGGCAGATAAAAATGAAATAGTATATTAGCCATACCTATTTCTCACTGATAGAATCAGAAATACTGTTTTATATTGGAAAATTAATACTTCTAATCCTTTAATACTTTTTTACCATCTAAAACTTCAATATGGCTAAATATCATATAAATCACTACTATCAAGTGAATTCTGACTTATAGTAACCCTTTATAGTGTTTCCACGATAAATCTTTACAGAAACATGAGGCCTCATCTTTCTCCCACAGACTAGATAGGGGATAAGAACTGTTGACTTTGTGGTTAACAACCCAAAACCCAACCCTCTGTGCCCCTACGGTTCCCTTAAATATCAAAGAGATTAGTAAACAAAAATGTAAATATAAAATGTTCAATTAGAAGACATTTTTCACTCAATGCAATAAATGTATAGTTCAAAACACTAGGCATAACCCAAACTCATGATGCTAGTCTTCTCAATGATTAACCGATAGGAATTTAAAATGAACTCAGATTGATCAATCAAATCTGTCAATCCAAGAAGCTAGACTAAGAAGAGTGTATAATTCATCGGTGCTATCCTACAGCTTGGTTGTACCACTTCTGTTGGGGGATATCCAATTATCTAAGGATATTCCTCTAGTTCCTAAATACTTCCCCCCACTCACCCAACCATGACCCAGTTCTAACTTACAAATCCGGCTAGACTGGAGAACACACATTGGTACAGATAAGCGCTCTGGACACAGGAAATTAAGGAAAGATAAACTCCTCAGGAATAGTAATTGGAGTGATGATATCATGAGGGTAGGGGGATGGCCAGGGAGGGGGAAGGGCGAGAAAATGGGAACCCATCAACAGATTGGATATATAGGCCCCACACACACGAAGGTGATGAAAATGGAAATGTGGGTGAAGGGAGACAAAAGACCGTATATGATATGAAATAACAACGTATAATTGGTCAAGGATACAGGAGGGTAGGAATGGGTTTTAAAAAAGAGCTTACATCAAGGAGTCAAGCAGAAAATGTCTTGGAAATGATGATGGCAACATATGTACAAATATGCTTGATACAATTGATGTATGTAATGTGATGAGCTGTAAGACTCCCAATAAAATGATGAGGGGGCGGGGGGGAAGAAGATGAGTGTAGGATCAGGCTTGGTCACAGACTTATTAACAACTTGCAATATGCAGATAACATAACTTTGCTTACTGAATAACAAGATTATTTGGAGTACTTACTAATGAAGAGCAAGACTGCAGCCTTCAGTGTGGGCTGCAATTCAGCATAAAGAAACAAAACAAAATCCTCACCATGGGACCAGTTCACATGATGACATATGGGGAAAAGGTAGAAATTATCAAGGATTTAATTTAACTGGGAATCCATAATCACTATTCATGGAAGCAGGAGTTTAAAATTCAAATAGTTGGATTGGGCACATCTGCTGAACAAGACCTTTGTACAGTGTTAAAGAGCAAAGATATCATTTTGAGAACTATAGAGCATCTGGGCCAATCCATGGTCTTTTCACTCACCTTCCAAGTGTGGAAAAGCTGGACAATAAATAAAGAACACCAAACAAGAATTGTGGTGTTGATGAAGAATATTGAAATTATCCTGCAATGCCAAAAACAAACAAACAAATCTTTCTGGGAAGAAGTACAGCCAGAATGTTCCTTAGAAGGAAGGATGGTAAGACTTCTTCTCAGGTACTTTGGACATATTATCAGGAGGTGCCTCCCTGGAAAAGGGCATCATGCTTGGGAGAGTAAAGGGTAAGCAAAAAAAGAGGAAGAGCCTCACTGAGCTGGGCTGGCACGGTGACAGCAGCAAGGCAGGCCTAGGGGAGATTGTAAGGAAAGAAAGGCACAAGGCTGGGTGCGGTTTAGTTCTACCATACACGGGATTACTAGGAGTCAGAATAACCAAAAGCCTAGGCTGAAATTTTCACGTCAATTTTTATGTTTTGTGGTTTGGGTTCGTTGCTTATTTTTGCGGTTTTAACTCTCTGAACATGTACTCACAGAACCTACCGCATGACTGTAACAATCGGAAGGGTTTTCTTTTTTGCAGCAATCATCCAGGAGATTCTCATACACTTCACCAATTCTTAAAATCTCTGGTGTAGACAGATCTTGATGTCTCCTTGAGTATTCATAAAGAAACCTAGTATGTGCAAAATATTACAAAAATATTAGAGAACTACTAAAACATCAAACCCTTTTAGTCCAATCAGATCCACTAATAGAAATCTGTTTTGATGGATTCTGGGAGCCCACTAAACTCTAGCCCCAATCCGAGAACAGTTAGTTCAGATAACATGGCCCTGCGCGATACTTGCCTTCATGAAGTGATCCCTGAAGATAAGGGTGCTGCAGCAAAGTGTGGTGAAGAAAGCAGAGGGTGCCCAGCTATCAATTGAAATGGTGTCTGGGTTCTTAAAAGCTTATATTCAAACAAACAAGACTCCATCTAAGCAAGGAGTCAACTAAGTCCAAATGGAAGAAGCACACCAATTTGTATGATCCAAAGATGACAAGTACAAAATTCAAATATGACAAAGGGAAAAGTATCGGAGCTTAAATTGTGAACACCCAATATGTGGAAGGGTGTGGAGGACAGTGGAAGCCCAAAAATGATCTGCAGAGCATTTAGTTAGATTAAGGGCTATCAGAACAGCCCCCCCTCGCCACAGGCAATGGTCTGGAACAGCCTTACTATCATACATAGATCATTGTCATCCTAATTAGGCTGAATAAAACTTGATACTTGGCCAGTTAACCTCTCTCTAGAGTCTAGACCCAACCTGAATTTGTTCTAAGTGCAGGAATATCTTGCTTGATCCTAGCATTTTCAAAATTGATGGAGGTCTTTTCTTTCCTGCTCATTGTGGTATTTTTATCTTTATATTGCTATTGTTTTGCCCTTACCACTTCATTTCATTTTTTACTTGACTGTTTCCACTGGGTTTAACAGTATATAAAGCACAGAAGGAGTGGATGCATAGAGATAATAACTGATACAAGGGTTTATAGGGGATGTAGGGTGGTTGGGGGGGTGAGGGGATTTCCGGTGGGGAGGAGGGGAGAGAGAGGGGTTTGGGAAGTAATCAGTGAAGGGGGGAGGGGGAGGGAGCACTGGAACAGAATGTAATTACACAGCTCATTCTAAAGGCAATTCAGTCATGGGGAGAAAAAAAGAAAGAAAATGTTCTCAAGTTGATTGCGGTAATGATTGTATAAATTTTCATGACATGATTGAATGATTGAATTGTATGATGTGGATTATGTGCCAATAAAACTAAAAAATAAATAAATAAATCTGCTTTCAAATACTATGTTCTTTCTATGGTATGGTCAGAGAATGATGGTAGACCCAATATTCCATGGTTGGTTTTAAATTGGAAATGGTTTTTTTCACTTGGGGAGATATAACCAATAGAGTTATTGAGATTAAATTATTAGCATTATTTCCCCCATAAAACATCAGAAATATTCTATTAGATCATTAGCACCTTAAAAGATAAGTGTTAGAAATAATTCTGATAGAAAATATGTTGGCTTCCAACTAGGGATGGTGAGAATCTGTCTTTCATCCTATGCCCAGAGACAGCTCTGTGAGAGAGAGCTTTTGCCAATTACTTCATCCTGCTACTTACCAAATATAGGATTGATCACCCTTCATCCCTGAATCAATGGTTTCCATGACCATAATCTCAGAGACCCCAAGAGCATAGGTAGGTGTTACTTGGGGGTTGTAGAAAAGAGAAAGGAGCGATACCACCACTCGTTAAGTCTTGGTAAGTGTTAGACAGGTAGTCCCTGAACGGTGCAAATGGTTAATGTGCTTGGTCACTAACAAAAAAGTTGGTGGTTTGAGACCACCCAGAAGTTCTTCAAAGAAATAATGATCTCCTTTAAAATTAAAAAAAAAAACAGCCATTAAAACTTCAGTGGAGCATAGTTGTACTCTGACATGTGCACGTTGTTAGGAGTCAGTCAGGATGGCAACTTATAGTGGTAGAACTTAGATCAAGCTTTAGACATAAAAAATAAAGGTTCACTTCCTGGTCTTTGTAAACACTTTGTCATCTCTTATGGGTTGAATTGTGTGTCCCCCTAGCACACACACCCCCCCACACACACACCAAAACATACATGTCAATCCTAACCTAGGTGTCTGTGGTTCTAATCCCATTGGGGGAAAGGTTGTGTCTGTTATGACAGTAGGGTTTATCTCAAGTCAATATCTTTTAAGATGCAAAAGAGGTTACACAAGTAAGCAAGAGAAGCAGAGATAGAGCAAGAGAGATGCCACGCCACAGGAAGATTTCCCAGGAGTAGAAACTCAGAAGAGGCAAAGGTCCTCCTCCAGAGTTCACAAAGAGAGAAAGCCTCTAAGTTCAGAACTCAAGTCTCCTAGGAAATAAATTTCTCTTCATGAAAGCCACCCAGATGGGGTATTACCGTTATAGCACTACAAGTTCCATGACATCATTAAGTTTCTCTTATTCTTCAGGATTTGTACTATTTTCTAGTGAACAAAACTAAGCTTCACTCTACGTAAGCACCCTGTCAGAAATTTTGAAATGTTTATGCTATTCTGTTTTACACCAACTTGAGCTCCTGCCCCAAAGACAGGCATCTCCCCTATGCACCTAACCTGTGCTATTTTATAACCTTCCTCATAAATGCATCCTATTTTTGCAACCAAGACATTTTTAGATGATTTGTCATGTTTTGTTAAAATAAGACCTTACAAAAGTCAAATTCTAGGACACTCTTTTCAAACACACACCCTCACCACCACCACCACTCTTTTTTTGTTTTGGCCATTGCCCTCTTGATGAATCTTGGTTTAGCTAATATTGTCTCTCCAGTTTCTCCATCTGTCTTTTCCGTAGCATTTCTTTTCCCTAGGTTGGGGATCCATTAAGATTGTGAGGTCACAGGTTCACAGGCAGAAAGAGTGCAGCTTGAAACTCTGCCTCTAAGTCAAATGCTCCTTGTCGCTCTCTATCCTTCTCCCCAATGGCTTCAAAATTTACCAACTCTCCAGGCTCTAATAATGAAGATGATGACAAAAATCACTTCCATTCAATAAGCCTACAAGTGAAGTGCTTTCCATCTACCATCTTGTTGAGCTTAATTTGATTTAATATTTGTGACTCCTGAGACATAATAAAGTGCAAGAACAGGGCTCTGGAGGCAGACAACTTTGCATTTGAATCTTAGCTTTACTACATAAACTTTGGGAAGTCATCTCATATTAACTGGGAGGCTTTGCGTTAACTTACTTTACCTCTTTGAGCTTCACCTGCTAAAAATGTTCTTTACCACTTGCAAAATGAAGATAATAAAAGTTAATGAACCACAGAGGGTTATTTGGGACATTAAATTTGTTGGTAGACCAAGAAACACTGAAAATTCAGTAACTATGGAATGGGCATAAGCTGTTATTATAATGCATCCTTTGAATCCAGACTTCCTTATAGAGTTCCAGTCCTACATTGCATCCTGATATTACCAATGAAACACAGACAGTCTAGGCACCTCCATGTCAACATGCTCAGACTCAAACACTGTCCTTCCCACAAAACCTGCCTCAGAACCTGGACTTCCACTGAATGTGAAAATTTGTCACACTGTCAGCTAAGCCCCTAGGTGGGATTTCTTTCAGATAAGAGTTATAGCAAAGCAAAATAGACTCTGTCCTTCTTTATTCTTCAGTAAAAATGCTTCATGACATATTTAGTTTGCATAAGTGATTACTACCACATACACATCAAGAAGTTTTCTGTAAGCTGATGGCGCCCGGCTATCAAAGGATATAGCATCTGGGGTCTTAAATAACATGGCCCTGCGCGATACTTGCCTTCATGA